ACAAAAATGATTTTAAAACCACTGAGTCCCCAACCCCAATATTAGACGGGACTGCCAAAACATGACTTCAACATGAAAAACCCCACCCTATTACGGGAGGGACTGAAAAAAACATGACTTCAACATGGGGGAACCCCACCCCCTATTACATACTGACTGAAAAAAATACTTCAACACTGAGAAACCCCACCCATATTACTTTAATGATGCCCAAAAATGATTTCAAAAAAGAGTAACCACCCCAATATTACATATGACTGAAAAAAACATAAATTAAACCCACTGGTAACCAAACCATATTCAAAAGACTGACAAAAAAGGGTTTTTCAACACTGAGAAACCACACCATTTTAATATGACTGGAAAAATTTGACTTCAAACTGAGTAACCCCCACCATATTACGGGATTTGCTGACAAAACTGACTTAACCCACTGAGAAAACCACACCTTTTAAATGACTGACTGAAAAAAACATGACTTCAACACTGAGAACCACACCATTTTAAACTGACTGAAAAAACCTGACTTCCCAACACTCGTAACCCCCACCATTTAAATGACTGACGGACTGTCAAAAAGGGCCCAAAAAATGCCCTTAAAAACACTGAGAAAACCCCCACCATTATGACTGAGGGACTGTCAATAAAAACAAAACTGATTTCAAAAATGATTTAACCCCAACCAAAATTACATACTGACTTTTCAATAAGAAAAAAAATGACTTCAACATGAAAACCCAAAACCCCTTTTTACTAAATGAAAAAAAACATGACTTCAACATGAGTAACCACACCATTTACATACGTGAAAAAAAAACAGGGATTTAAACCCACTGAGAACCCAAAACCCCAATTTTACTGATGACGGACTGTCAAAAGGAAAAAAAAATGACTTAAAAAACAACAAAACCAAAAAACCCATTTTTTACATACGGACTGAAAAAACAGGATTCAAACTGATTTAACCCCAAACCTTTTTTTACTTTACTGACTGAAAAAAAACATGACTTCAAAAATGAGTAACCACACCATTTTACTAAATGAAAAAACATGACTTAAAAATGATTTAACCACCCCATTTTACATTACTGCGACAAAACGGGATTTAAAAGAGAACCAAACCATTTTACTGACTGACAAAAAATGATTCAACCATGGTAACCACACCATATTACTGACTGACAAAACATGACTTCAACACTGAGTAACCACACCATATTACTGACTGGCAAAACATGACTTCAACACTGAGTAACCACACCATATTACTGACTGACAAAACATGACTTCAACACTGAGTAACCACACCATATTACATATTGACTGACATAACATGGACTTCAACACTGGAGTAACCCACACCATATTACTGACTGACTGGACTGTCAATAAGGCAAAACATGACTTCAACACTGAAGTAACCACACCACATTACATATTGGACTGACCAAAACATGACTTCAACACTCAGTAACCACACCATATTACTGACTGTCAATAAGAGTATACATGTATATACACAAACCCAACACTATACTACACTCCGACTACTGCAAATTCCCGCAAATTTGCTGCAAACTAAATAGTGTGCCACAAAATGTTGCCAGAAGTTTGCAAATGTTTGCCACTATTGGTGAATCTGTGGAAAACCTTTGGCAACAATAATATTTATTACGACTAGTGGCAGACTGTTCACCAGAGGTTTTTTTCTAGCAGACAATTCTCTCATGATTATATTTGAATCTGTGGCAAACATGTGCCAACAACATTTATTAACATTCACTAGTGGCAAAAATACAGACTGAGGCCTTCAATCAAACTGAGAAAATAGAAATATGTGCACCAGACAGGTCAACACTTCTTGCATGCATGGCTTTAAGATGTAAGTTACACAAAAAAAATATTAGGTTGTTTGGATGACCCAATGGCTGGGTTGTAGGCATTGGGTTAATAGTTGGTTTGTTTTCTGTAAAAACAGCACGGTTGGGTTGTTGGTGTTGGTTATTAAGGTTGGGTTGTTGGTGTTGGTTATTAAGGTTGGGTTATTGATATTTGACCCAGCCAGTGGGTTAATTCTCCCGCCACCAGCGTGTGAAGTCCAGCAGAACGTGAGCAAGTGTCGAGACGTGGCAACTTGCAAGTCTTCTAGTTCTAGTGCGACTGACTGAGTGGAAAACAGCTAACGTTATTTCGACAGACTAAGGTTGTTTTGGCTGACTGAACCGTGTTAACGGTAAGTAACAAACGTTACAAATTATGAATTTGATGGTTATTCAGGTTAAATAGGTTGTCCTATCATAATTAGGTAGCTAGCTAACGTTAGCTTGAGCATTAGCTAACGACCATTAGCTAGCTAGCCATTTTCTGTGCTAATATCTCTGGCTGTGGTAACATTAGCTAGCAAGCTAACGTTAGCCTCGCGAGGCTAGCTTACTGAAGTGTTGTCACGGAATATAGCTAAATGTACGGTTTTTGTCAACGTTTGGCTAGCTAGCTAGCTAACTATGACGGTGTCTGTAATGATAGCTAACTAAAGTTATCTAGCTAGCTATTTTAGCTAGATAAGTCTGACACTTCTTCTGGACTGTCTCTGACACTGTTTCATTCGTTAGCTAACATTAGCTAAGTTAGCTGGCTAGCTAAGTTACCATAGCTAGATTTGACTTATTCTCCATCTGGGTTAATTTAACCAAGCTATTTGGCAGCCTTATCTCATGCTTGCATGGTTATTGATTGAGTTAGCTAGAGTTACTGTACAGGTTTTCAATGGTTTCTGACAGTGGCAGCTTTAGTCAGACTTGTGAAGTTGAGGATGATGGATGCAAATTCTGTTAGCTAGCTAACGTTAGAGTTTACCTTAAATTTGATGTATCCAAGTTAGTATAGCTAGCTAGCTATGTTTCTAACATGTATTTATTTCTGTACTTAAATGCATAGGTCTAGGCGAATGGACAGCTTTGTAAAGGATATGCTGAATGAGTGGAACTTGGCCTCTTTTTCCAAAGTTTGAGGCTAAGTAAAACTGAGAAATTCCATTTTGAGAGTGGGGACAGAGCTTTGGGGGGGAAAAACACTGATGTTCATTGACCTTGTGTAAAAAAGCATCTACATCTTCCACATTGTCATCGATAACCAATAGTGCAACCTTAATGGAAACCTGAAAGACTTAACTTCACCAGAGCCTCTTAGAACCATTCAGCCACTTGGGGACTAGATACATTACATGCAGAGGAGGAGCTACCATATTTACATTTACATTTACGTCATTTAGCAGACGCTCTTATCCAGAGCGACTTACAAATAGGTGCATTCACCTTATAGCCAGTGGGATAACCACTTTTACAATTAGTATTAACCACAATTACAATTAGTATTAACACTGGAATGATAGATGTGCAAGAGATTATGTGCAAATAGAGATACTGGGGTGCAAATGAGCAAAATAAATAACAATATAGGGATGAGGTAGTTGGGTGGGCTAATTACAGATGGGCTGTGTACAGGTGCGGTGATCGGTAAGCTGCTCGGACAACTGATGCTTAAAGTTAGTGAGGGAGATAAGTCTCTCCAGCTTCAGAGATGTTTGCAATTCGTTCCAGTCATTGGCAGCAGAGAACTGGAAGGAATGGCGGCCAAAGGAGGTGTTGGCTTTGGGGATGACCAGTGAGATATACCTGCTGGAGGTGCATTCACCTTATAGCCAGTGGGATAACCACTTTACAATGTTTTATTTTTTATTTTTTTATTTTTTTGGGGGGGGGTTGGGGTTTGGGTTGGGGTAAGGGGGGGGGGTAGAAGAATTACTTTATCCTATCCCAGGTATTCCTTAAAGAGGTGGGGTTTCAAATGTCTCCGGAAGGTGGTGAGTGACTCCGCTGTCCTGGCGTCGTGAGGGAGCTTGTTCCACCATTGGGGTGCCAGAGCAGCGAAGATTTGACTGGGCTGAGCGGGAACTATGCTTCCGCAGAGGTAGGGGAGCCAGCAGGCCAGAGGTAGGGGGGGCCAGCAGGCCAGAGGTAGGGGGCCAGCAGGCCAGAGGTAGGGGAGCCAGCAGGCCAGAGGTAGGGGAGCCAGCAGGCCAGAGGTAGGGGAAGCCAGCAGGCCAGAGGTAGGGGAGCCAGCAGGCCAGAGGTAGGGGAGCCAGCAGGCCAGAGGTAGGGGGGCCAGCAGGCCAGAGGTAGGGGAGCCAGCAGGCCAGAGGTAGGGGAGCCAGCAGGCCAGAGGTAGGGGGGCCAGCAGGCCAGAGGTAGGGGAGCCAGCAGGCCAGAGGTAGGGGGGCCAGCAGGCCAGAGGTAGGGGAGCCAGCAGGCCATAGATAGTCTGGCCTTCATTTTACCATACTTGCTTTATTGGTCATTTGCACAGATATTCTGTCACAGTGACCAACCTGACACACACATCACAGGCTGGGCACTTAGGGGTAAAGTGTCTTGCTCAAGGGCACAACAGCAGTAGGCAGTACACAGAGACATTGTAGCTGGTAACCCTCTGACAGATGGATCACATCCTGCAGAATTCCCCACAGGCAGCTAGGGATTCAAACCGATAACCCGCCGGTTATGGGCCTGCATTTCTAACCTCGAAGCTACTGCCGCCACTAATCATTTTGCTCTTTCCTCACTCCTTTGCCTTTGTTTAACCATTTGACCTGGCTTTCAACCTTTCCCTCCTCAACGTATGTGGGTGAAACTATCTCTTAAAATCTCTCCCTTAGCGGTTAAGAGCACTGGGCCAGTAACAAAGCCAGCAATTGGAAAAAATCTGCTGTTCTGCCCTTGAGCAAGGCAGTTAACCCACAACAACAACTGCTCCCCAGGCGCTGAAGACTTGGATGTCGATTAAGGCAGCCCCCCCGCACCTCTGATTTAGAGGGGTTGGGTTAAATGAGGAAGACACATTTCGGTTGAATGCATTCAGTTGTGCAACTGACTAGGTTTCCTCTTTCTCTTTTGCAGCGGAGGAGATAGATCAGGAAACGCTCTTGCTTTTAGACGACTCGATTATAGCCTGAAGGTGAAGAAGAGTATTCTGTAAACGCCACCTTTTATATACACGAAACACACACATGAATACATAGGAATGTGGACACACCGAGCGACACACCAAGCTTGAGCAGTAGTCGCGTCTTGCCAGGTGAAGTATATGTTGAAAGATTTGTGCATTTGGAAAACTGACAACATCTGGCCGGCACACCAAGTTGAAGGAGGACCGCGATCCAGAACGCTTAGTGGACCAGACAGAATGGGGCCAAGACAGTGTGATGGTCCGAGAGTATACGCGTCTGCCGGATACTCCAGCCACGGTGGGCATGGTCAATTATTTTTACAAAAACATTAGACTTGAATTTGATTGTGTTTGCTCTGATGAACTAGCCTGGCTGATGTGACCCACGTGACTCACAGAGCAGGGAGAGCTGTGACCACACTGGTCTGGATAGGAGGCTGGTTGTTAATGCCGTATTTGCTCATAAATTGTGCGACAGGGTTTGATTGGTTCTCTCAAATGTTTGTTTTTTCCTCTGGGGTTGAGACCTCTCATTGTTTGGATTTGAAATTCCAACCATTGTAATAGAAGGGGGCGGAGGTCAGGGGCTGAGTGTGACTGTTGGTGTTTGAGTGAGAAAGACACAGAGGAGGGACAACCAGTAAAAGCATTACCAACGCATTGTGCCGACCACATCAAAGAGACATTCCAGACTCTGAAGTCAGGAGGACTTCAAGAGTTAGGTGTTAGCAGACTAGTGATTGCCCCATATGATTTTCAAATTGTGTTATGTTGTAGCCAGACAAACAATTACTTTTTCACAAGCATTAGAAACAGCATTGGGTGTGGATACGGTGGGTACATGTGGATCTGAGCAAGTGTGACATCATTAACGTTTGTGGAAATTGTATGTATGTAAATATTAAGTTGTCTATTGTTTTTGTCAATGTGTGTATTTATTTTGTATTGTTAAATAAACAACAAAAAGTACAATTAAATATTTCAAAAAAATAGTTGTCTGCTTTACTAGATCTAACCATAGACAATCAACATAGCACAACACGACACAGAAAATACACACCCTGACTCAACAAATACGAGTCCCTAGAGTCAGGGTCCCTAGAGTCAGGGTCCCTAGAGTCAGGGTCCCTAGAGTCAGGGTCCCTAGAGTCAGGGTCCCTAGAGTCAGGGCGTGACAGCTTTACTACAGTCCTTTACTATAGTGTTGTTTTTCGTAAGGGATAGTGTGGTATAGTGTTGTGTGTGTGTGTGTATAGATAGACTTGGCGCCGGAGGGGCTGGCTGCCGTTCTATGGACTCTTAACCGACCGTGCTATTTTGTGTGTTTTTTCGCATTGTTTTAAACTTATATTTTACATAATGTTGCTGCTACCATCTCTTATGACCGAAAAGAGCTTCTGGACATCAGAACAGCGATTACTCACTTTGAACTGGACAAATAATTTTTCTTTAATGAGTTGGAAGAGAGGGATTTGCTCCAGACACCCGACAGGGCCCTCATCCCCGTCATTCGTAGTAGAAAGAAAAGGAGATATCGCGGAAGGAGATCGGGGTGCATGGTTAGGAGCCAGCGGCGAGTGGCTAATCTGCCTTTGCCATCGATACTATTGGCCAACTTACAATCTCTTGATAATAAAGTGGACGAACTACAGGCACGAATATCCTACCAACGGGACATTAAAAACTGTAATATCTTATGTTTCACAGAGTCGTGGCTGAACGAAGACATGAATAACATACAGCTGGTGGGTTATACACTGTATCGGCAGGATAGAACAGCTGACTCCGGTAAGACAAGGGGTGGCGGTCTATGTATATTTTTAAACAACAGCTGGTGCACAATATGTTAGGAAGTCTTTAGGTTATCTCATGAGTATCTCATGATAAGCTGTAGACCACACTATCTACCAAGATAGTTTTCATCTATATTCTTCGTAGCTGTCTATTTACCACCACAAACCGATGCTGGCACTAAGACCGCACTCAATGAGCTGTATACGGCCATAAGCAAACAGGAAAACGCTCATCCGGAGGCAGCGCTCCTAGTGGCTGGGGACTTTAATGCAGGGAAACTTAAATCCTCTAGACGACCTTTACTCAACACACAGAGACGCGTTCAAAGCTCTCCCTCGCCCTCCATTTGGCAAATCTGACCATAATTCTATCCTCCTGATTCCTGCTTACAGGCAAAAACTAAAGCAGGAAGCGCCAGTGACTCGGTCAATAAAAAAGTGGTCAGATGAAGCAGATGTTAAACTACAGGACTGTTTTGCTAGCACAGACTGGAATAAATCAAAGCAAATTTTATTTGTCACATACACGTGTTTAGCAGATGTTATAGTGGGTGTAGCGAAATGCTTGTGCTTCTAGCTCCGACAGTGCAGTAATATCTAACAAGTAATATCTAACAATTTCACAACATATACCCAATACATATGTTCCGGGATTCTTCCGATGGCATTGAGGAGTACACCACATCAATCACTGGCTTCATCAATAAGTGCATCAATGACGTCGTCCCCACAGTGACTGTACGTACATACCCCAATCAGAAGCCATGGATTACAGGCAACATCCGCACTGAGCTAAAGGGTAGAGCTGTCGCTTTCAAGGAGCGGGACTCTAACCCGGACGCTTATAAGAAATCCTGCTATGCCCTCCGACGAACCATCAAACAGGCAAAGAGTCAATACAGGACTAAGATTGAATCGTACTACACCGGCTCTAACGCACATCGGATGTGGCAGGGCTTGCAAACTACAGTGAGGGAAAAAAGTATTTGATCCCCTGCTGATTTTGTACGTTTGCCCACTGACAAAGAAATGATCAGTCTATAATTTTAATGGTAGGTTTATTTGAACAGTGAGAGACAGAATAACAACAACAACAAAAAATCCACAAAAACGTACGTCAAAAATGTTATAAATTTGATTTGCATTTTAATGAGGGAAATAAGTATTTGACCCCTCTGCAAAACATGACTTAGTACTTGGTGGCAAAACCCTTGTTGGCAATCACAGAGGTCAGACGTTTCTTGTAGTTGGCCACCAGGTTTGCAAACATCTCAGGAGGTATTTTGTCCCACTCCTCTTTGCAGATCTTCTACAAGTCATTAAGGTTTCGAGGCTGACGTTTGGCAACTCGAACCTTCAGCTCACTCCACAGATTTTCTATGGGATTAAGGTCTGGAGACTGGCAAGGCCACTCCAGGACCTTAATGTGCTTCTTCTTGAGCCAGTCCTTTGTTGCCTTGGCCGTGTGTTTTGGGTCATTGTCATGCTGGAATACCCATCCAGGACCCATTTTCAATGCCCTGGCTGAGGGAAGGTTCTCACCCAAGATTTGACGGTACATGGCCCCGTCCATCGTCCCTTTGATGCGGTGAAGTTGTCCTGTCCCCTTAGCAGAAAAACACCCCCAAAGCATAATGTTTCCACCTCCATGTTTGACAGTGGGGATGGTGTTATTGGGGTCATAGGCAGTATTCCTTCTCCTCCAAACACGGCGAGTTGAGTTGATGCCAGAGAGCTCGATTTTGGTCTCATCTGACCACAACACTTTCACCCAGTTCTCCTCTGAATCATTCAGATGTTCATTGGCAAACTTCAGACGGCCCTGTATATGTGCTTTCTTGAGCAGGGGGACCTTGCGGGCGCTGCAGGATTTCAGTCCTTCACGGCGTAGTGTGTTACCAATTGTTTTCTTGGTGACTATGGTCCCAGCTGCCTTGAGATCATTGACAAGATCCTCCCGTGTAGATCTGGGCTGATTCCTCACCGTTCTCATGATCATTGCATCTCCACGAGGTGAGATCTTGCATGGAGCCCCAGGCCGAGGGAGATTGACAGTTATTTTGTGTTTCTTCCATTTGCGAATAATCGCACCAACTGTTTTCACCTTCTCACCAAGCTGCTTGGCGGTGGTCTTGTAGCCCATTCCAGCCTTGTGTAGGTCTACAATCTTGTCCCTGACATCCTTGGAGAGCTCTTTGGTCTTGGCCATGGTGGAGATTTTGGAATCTGATTGATTGATTGCTTCTGTGGACAGGTTTCTTTTATACAGGTAACAAGCTGAGATTAGGATCATTCCCTTTAAGAGTGTGCTCCTAATCTCAGCTCGTTACCTGTATAAAAGACACCTGGGAGCCAGAAATCTTTCTGATTGAGAGGGGGTCAAATACTTATTTCCCTCATTAAAATGCAAATCAATTTATAACATTTTTGACATGCATTTTTCTGGATTTTGTTATTCTGTCTCTCACTGTTCAAATAAACCTACCATTAAAATTATAGACTGATAATTTATTTGTCAGTGGGCAAACGTACAAAATCAGCAGGGGATCAAATACTTTTTTCCCCTCACTGTATATTTTCTGTTGTATTTTTGACTTTATGTTTTGTTTACCCCATATGTAACTCTGTGTTGTTGTTTTTATCGCAATGCTTTGCTTTATCTTGGCCAGGTCGCAGTTGTAAATGAGAACTTGTTCTCAACTGGCTTACCTGGTTAAATAAAGGTGAAATAAAATACAAAAATTAATGAAAAGTAGACTGACGAGTTTAAGAAGAACGTTATTTGTTTCTGGCCATTTTGATCCTGTAATTGAACCCACAATTGCTGATTTTCCAGATACTCAACTAGTCTCAAGAATGCCAGTTTTATTGCTTCTTTAATCAGCACAAAAGTTTTCAGCTGTGCTAACATAATTGCAAAAAGGGTTTTCTAATGATCAAATAGCCTTTTAAAATGATAAACCTGGATTAGCAAACACAACGTGCCATTGGAACACAGGACTGATGGATGCCGACAATGGGCCTCTGTACGCCTATGTACTGTAGATATTCTATTCAAAATCAGCCGTTTCCAGCTACAATAGCCATTTACAACATTAACAATGTCTACACTGTATTTCTGATTAATTTGATGTTATTTTAATTGACAACAAATTTGTTTTTCTTTCGAAAACAAGGACATTTCTAAGTGACCCCAAACCTTTGACGGTAGTGTACAGTACCAGTCAAAAGTTTGGACACACCTATTGAGTCCAGGGTTTTTCTTTATTTTTACTATTTTCTACATTGTATGGGAATTGTACTGCATTCCAGGTGACTACCTCATGAAGCTGGTAGAGCGAATGCCAAGAATGTGGAAAGCTGTCATCAAGGCAAAGGGTGGCTACTTTGAAGAATTACATTCGACATTTTTGTCATTTAGCAGACGCGCTTATCCAGAGCGACTTACAGTTTAGTGAGTGCACACATTTTTTTTATTCTTTAATTTGTATTTATTTTTTTGTACTGGTCCCCCGTGGGAATCGAACCCACAACCCTGGTGTTGCAAACGCCATGCTCTACCAACTGAGCTACACAGGACACAAATATTAAATATATTTTGATTTGTTTAACACTGGTTTGGTACTACATGATTACATATGTGTTAATTCATAGTTTTGATGTCTTCACTATTATTCTACAATGTAGAAAATAGTAAAAATAAAGAAAAACCCTTGAATGAGTAGGTGTTCCAAACTTTTGACTGATACAATACATATTCCAACCATATTACCACCACACCGTGTTACCACCATACCGTGTTACCACCACACCGTATTACCACCACACCATATTAACACCACACCGTATTACCACCACACCGTATTACCACCACACCGTGTTACCACCACACCGTGTTACCACCACACCGTGTTACCACCACACCGTGTGACCACCGTATTACCACCACACCGTGTTACCACCGTGTTACCACCACACCGTGTTACCACCACACCGTGTTACCACCGTATTACCACCACACCGTGTTACCACCGTGTTACCACCACACCGTGTTACCACCACACCGTATTACCACCACACCGTGTTACCACCACACCGTATTACCACCACACCGTGTTACCACCACACCGTATTACCACCACACCTTGTTACCACCGTGTTACCACCACACCGTGTTACCACCACACCGTATTACCACCACACCGTGTGACCACCACACCGTGTTACCACCACACCGTGTTACCATCACACCGTGTTACCTCCACACCGTGTTACCACCACACCGTGTGACCACCACACCGTGTTACCACCACACCGTATTACCACCACACCGTGTTACCACCACACCGTATTACCACCACACCGTGTGACCACCACACCGTGTGACCACCACACCGTGTGACCACCACACCGTGTGACCACCACACCGTATTACCACCACACTGTATTACCACCACACCGTGTGACCACCACACCGTGTGACCACCACACCGTGTGACCACCACACCGTATTACCACCACACCGTATTACCACCACACCGTATTACCACCACACCGTGTTACCACCACACCGTATTACCACCACACCGTGTTACCACCACACCGTATTACCACCACACCGTGTGACCACCACACCGTGTGACCACCACACCGTGTGACCACCACACCGTGTTACCACCACACCGTATTACCACCACACCGTATTACCACCACACCGTGTTACCACCACACCGTATTACCACCACACCGTATTACCACCACACCGTGTGACCACCACACCGTGTTACCACCATATTACCACCACACCGTATTACCACCACACCGTATTACCACCACACCGTATTACCACCACACCGTGTTACCACCACACCATGTTACCACCACACCGTATTACCACCACACCGTATTACCACCTCACCGTGTTACCACCACACCGTGTTACCACCACACCGTATTACCACCACACCGTATTACCACCACACCGTATTACCACCACACCGTATTACCACCACACCGTGTTACCACCACACCGTGTGACCACCACACCATGTGACCACCACACCGTATTACCACCACACCGTGTGACCACCACACCGTATTACCACCACACCGTGTTACCACCACACCGTGTTACCACCACACCGTATTACCACACACCGTGTGACCACCACACCGTGTGACCAACCACACCGTGTGACCACCACACCGTGTTACCACCACACCGTATTACCACCACACCGTATACCACCACACCGTGTTACCACCACACCGTATTACCCGACACCGTATTACCACCCCACCGTGTGACCACCACACCGTGTTACCACCATATTACCACCCAACACCGTATTACCACCACACCGTATTACCACCACACACGTGTTACCACCCCATTACCACCACACCGTATTACCACCACACCGTATTACCACCACACCTTATTACACCACACCGTGTTACCACCACACCGTGTTACCACCACACCGTTACCACCACACCGTATTACCACCACACCGTGTTACCACCACACCGTGTGACCACCACACCGTATTACCCACCACACCGTATTACCACCACACCGTATTACCACCACACCGTATTACCACCACACCGTATTACCACCACACCGTGTTACCACCACACCGTGTGACCACCACACCGTGTGACCACCACACCGTATTACCACCACACCGTGTGACCACCACACCGTATTACCACCACACCGTTTACCACCACACCGTGTTACCACCACAACCGTATTACCACCACACCGTGTACCACCACCAACACCGTGTGACCACCACACCGTGTGACCAACCACACCGTGTTACCCCCACACCGTATTACCACCACCACCGTGTTACCACCACACCGTATTACCACCACACCGTATTTACCCACCACACCGTATTACCACCACACCGTGTGACCACCACACCGTGTACCACCATATTACCACCACACGTATTACCACCACACCGTATTACCCACCACACCGTATTACCACCACACCCGTGTTACCACCACACCATGTTACCACCACACCGTATTACCACCACACCGTATTACCACCACACCGTGTGTTACCACCACACCGTGTTACCACCACACCGTGTTACCACCACACCATATTACCACACACCGTATTACCACCACACCGTATTACCACCACACCGTGTTACCACCACACCGTGTTACCACCACACCGTATTACCACCACACCGTATTACCACCACACCGTATTACCACCACACCGTGTGACCACCACACCGTGGACACCACACGTGTGACCACCACACCGTGGACCACCACACCGTTTTTACCCCCACACCGTGTTACCACCACACCGTATTACCACCCACACCGTATTACCACCACACCGTGTTACCACCACACCGTGTGACCACCACACCGTGTTACCACCACAAACCGTGTTACCAACCACAAACCCTGTGACCACCACACCGTGTTACCACCACACCGTGTTGACCACCACCCGTGTGACCACACCACCGTGTTACCACCACACCTATTACCACACCGTGTTACCACCACACCGTGTTACCACCACCACCGTGTTACCACCATAACCGTATTACACCACAACCCTATTACCACCACACCGTATTACCACCACACCGTATTACCACCACAACACCGTGTTCCACCACACCGTATTACCACCACACTGCGTGACCACCACACCGTATTACCACCACACCGTGTTACCACCACACCGTATACCACCCACACCGTGTTACCACACACCGTTATTTACACCACACCGTGTTACCACCACACCGTGTTACCACCACACCGTGTTACCACCACACCGTGTTACCACCACACCGTGTTACCACCACACTGTGTTACCACCACACCGTATTACCACCACACCGTGTTACCACCACACCGTATTACCACCACACCGTGTTACCACCACACCGTGTTACCACCACACCGTGTTACCACCACACCGTGTTACCACCACACCGTGTTACCACCACACCGTGTTACCACCACACCGTGTTACCACCACACTGTGTTACCACCACACCGTATTACCACCACACCGTGTTACCACCACACCGTGTTACCACCACACCGTGTTACCACCACACCGTGTTACCACCACACCGTGTTACCACCACACCGTGTTACCACCACACCGTGTTACCACCACACTGTGTTACCACCACACCGTATTACCACCACACCGTGTTACCACCACACCGTGTTACCACCACACCGTGTTACCACCACACCGTATTACCACCACACCGTGTTACCACCACACCGTGTTACCACCACACCTCAGTCAAATTTCAACCTTATTACCGCCACATCAAAAATAATTCCCGCCCCTGTTCATGCCCATTTTTAAGTGGGCCAGTATAAATTGAAACAAATGTTACATATTAGTAAAGACAAGATTTAAATTGAGAATAGTGTGATGGGGGTGAAAATATGATGACTTGATGAGAGAACAGCGTGTGCTGCAGGCCTGGTTAAAAGTAGTCCACTATTGGAACAGACTTTCTCAAGTCATCAGCAGGATGTAGTCGCATCATTCAGCCCATATATCATTTAATTTCTTAGACATTCTAAAGTTTGTATCATTCACAACTAAAATTGCCAAATCTGGCATATAGGACCTGTTTCAAATGATCACTTTTACGCTCAACATAGCCACTTCATATGTGCTCTCGCTGCAGAATGGGAAAATATATCCAATCTATTTTATTAAGCTAAGTTCAATTACATTCTTACTATAAAATCATATAATATAAAATAATGGTAAGGGATTTATAAGCATATCTTGTCAGCTAAATGAACAAGCCTACAGCCTATGGCATGGAGCATAGCCGGATAACATACAGTAGGCCAACTCATATTCTGTTCTTCTGAAATACATTTTCTTCATATCATAATGTTTCTTTAGACCTGACTAAAATATATAATGGATTTATTGTGATGGTGTATATTCAATAGATTTATTATACTTTTTTTAAATGTAGATATTTCCGTGGCTTGTATCCGGCTTGTATGCTGGTGGCCTGGAGATGCTAAACGTGATTATGTTAATTACATTACATTACCGTGAGACCTACAGTCAATCCCCGGCTGACAATGTTATGAACATAGTGCGGTTAACAAGAACTGGTTAAACACTTGGATCTGGATCCTGTTAACAGCTTGGATCTGGACCATGCCATGCTGCTTGGATCTGTATCCTGTTAACAGCTTGGATCTGGACCATGCTGGTTAAACACTTGGATCTGTATCCTGTTAACAGCTTGGATCTGGACCATGCCATGCTGCTTGGATCTGTATCCTGTTAACAGCTTGGATCTGGACCATGCTGGTTAAACACTTGGATCTGTATCCTGTTAACAGCTTGGATCTGGACCATGCTGGTTAAACACTTGGATCTGTATCCTGTTAACAGCTTGGATCTGGACCATGCTGGTTAAACACTTGGATCTGTATCCTGTTAACAGCTTGGATCTGGACCATGCTGGTTAAACACTTGGATCTGTATCCTGTTAACAGCTTGGATCTGGACCATGCTGGTTAAACACTTGGATCTGTATCCTGTTAACAGCTTGGATCTGGACCATGCTGGTTAAACACTTGGATCTGTATCCTGTTAACAGCTTGGATCTGGACCATGCCATGCTGCTTGGATCTGTATCCTGTTAACAGCTTGGATCTGGACCATGCTGGTTAAACACTTGGATCTGTATCCTGTTAACAGCTTGGATCTGGACCATGCTGGTTAAACACTTGGATCTGTATCCTGTTAACAGCTTGGATCTGGACCATGCTGGTTAAACACTTGGATCTGTATCCTGTTAACAGCTTGGATCTGGACCATGCTGGTTAAACACTTGATCTGTATCCTGTTAACAGCTTGGATCTGGACCATGCCATGCTGCTTGGATCTGTATCCTGTTAACAGCTTGGATCTGGACCATGCTGGTTAAACACTTGGATCTGTATCCTGTTTACATCTTGGATCTGGACCATGCTGGTTAAACACTTGGATCTGTATCCTGTTAGCAGCTTGGATCTGGACCATGCCATGCTGCTTGGATCTGTATCCTGTTAACAGCTTGGATCTGGACCATGCTGGTTAAACGCTTGGATCTGTATCCTGTTAACAGCTTGGATCTGGACCATGCTGGTTAAACACTTGGATCTGTATCCTGTTAACAGCTTGGATCTGGACCATGCCATGCTGCTTGGATCTGTATCCTGTTAACAGCTTGGATCTGGACCATGCTGGTTAAACACTTGGATCTGTATCCTGTTAACAGCTTGGATCTGGACCATGCTGGTTAAACACTTGATCTGTATCCTGTTAAACAGCTTGGATCTGGACCATGCCATGCTGCTTGGATCTGTATCCTGTTAACAGCTTGGATCTGGACCATGCTGGTTTAAACACTTGGATCTGTATCCTGTTTACAGCTTGGATCTGGACCATGCTGGTTAAACACTTGGATCTGTATCCTGTTAACAGCTTGGATCTGGACCATGCTGGTTAAACACTTGGATCTGTATCCTGTTAACAGCTTGGATCTGGACCATGCTGGTTAAAACACTTGGATCTGTATCCTGTTAACAGCTTGGATCTGGACCATGCTGGTTAAACACTTGGATCTGTATCCTGTTAACAGCTTGGATCTGGACCATGCTGGTTAAACACTTGGATCTGTATCCTGTTAACAGCTTGGATCTGGACCATGCCATGCTGCTTGGATCTGTATCCTGTTAACAGCTTGGATCTGGACCATGCTGGTTAAACACTTGGATCTGTATCCTGTTAACAGCTTGGATCTGGACCATGCTGGTTTAAACACTTGGATCTGTATCCTGTTAACAGCTTGGATCTGGACCATGCTGGTTAACACTTGGATCTGTATCCTGTTAACAGCTTGGATCTGGACCATGCTGGTTAAACACTTGATCTGATCCTGTTAACAGCTTGGATCTGGACCATCCAGCTGCTTGGATCTGGTATCCTGTTAACAGCTTGGATCTGACCATCTGGTTAACACTTGGATCTGTATCCTGTTTACATCTTGGATCTGGACCATCGGTTAACACTGGACTGATCCTTCAAGCTGGATCTGGCCATGCCATGCTGCGGATCTGTACCGTAACAGCTGGATCTTGGACCATCTGTTCAAACGCTGGATCTGTATCCTGTTAACAGCTTGCATTGGACCATGCGTGGTTAAACACTGGATCTGTTCGTTAAAGCTTGGATCTGGACCTGACATGCTGCTTGATACGTATCTGTAACCACTTGGATCTGGCATGCTGGTTAAACACCTTGGATCTGTAATCCTTTTAACAGCTTGGATCTGACATCCGGTAAACACTTGTACTGATCCTGTTACAGCTTGGATCTGGAACAGCCTGCTCTTGGATCTGTATCTACTGTGAACAGTTGGATCTGACATCGGTTAAACACTTGGCTGTATCCGTTACAGCTTGGATTGCTACCATCTGGTTAAACACTTGATCGTTCCTGTAACACTCTCCCCCTCTCTGCCATGCTGGTAAGACCTTGGATCTGGTATCCTGTTAACAGCTTGGATCTGGACATGCTGGTAGAACACTGATCTTATCCTGTTAACATGCGTTGGATCCTGGACCATGCTGGTTAAACACTTGGATCTGTTCCTGTTAACAGCTTGATCTGGACATGGCTGGTTAATCACTGGATTTTCCTTAATGCATCTTTGACCTGACATTGCTCTCTTGTCTGTATCCTTACAGCTTGGTTGGATTGCTGGTTATAACACTTGATCTACTCCTGTAAAGCTTGGATCTAGGACCAGCCTGCTGCTTGGATCTGTATCCTGTTAACAGCTTGGATCTGGACCATGATTACAGTGGCAAACCCGAAAAGGCACTCAATTTCCCTATACAGTGCATATCCTATGGGCCCTGGTCTAAAGTAGTGCACTACATAAGGAATAGGGTGCCATTTGGGACTCAGCCCGGGTCTCCAAGGACTGGCTTCAGTAAAGTGCTCTTGTGATTTACTCTACAATGAACTCTTCAGACACTAAACTGGCATCCAATAGGATTGGGTGATCCCCTGAAAGCAGCTCATTCAATTAGAAATCCAATCTAATTGACAGTAGGACATACAGTACACAGGAAGACATTGTACAACCTTTTCAGAGGACTCAGAACAGTCTGCTCGTTGCTTTGCTCTACATGGATAGTTGGCCTAGTGTCACAGGTAATAGAAATGTTACCGTAACGTGTGAGAGAAGCTAACCAATTAAAATATGTCTCTCTCGAACGACTCCTCCCCCCTCTCTCCCTCTGGAGAAGGTATCCATTGACAGGGCTATTCCAAAGACATGAGTCAGAGAAGAGGTGGTAGGAACTCTGATCTCATCTGCTTCATCATTCATTGGTTTTTTGTCCGCATGGCAAGGTGTGAGCCTCCAACGCACAGAGGGTGTGTTCACTGACGGAGTGGGGCTAATTGAATACAGTTTCTTCAAGTGCATCTTTAGCCTTTCATTGTCTCTGTCTGTGGAGACTCGATATGGTGGTTGTGGTATATAAAGTATATACACTACCGGTCAAAAGTTTTAGAACACCTCCTCATTCAAGGGTTTTTCTTTATTTTTTACTATTTTCTACATTGTAGAATAATAGTGAAGATATCAAAACTATGAAATAACACATATGGAATCATGTAGTAACCAAAAAAGTGTTAAACAAATCAAATTATATTTTATATTTGAGATTCTTCAAATAGACACCCTGTGCCTTGATGACAGCTTTGCACACTTGGCATTGCCAAGCTTGTAGCGTCATACCCAAGAAGACTCAAGGCTGTAATCGCTGCCAAAGGTGCTTCAACGCTGAGTAATGGGTCTGAATACTTATGTAAATGTGATATTTTCGTTTTTCTAAAAACGTGTTTTTGCTTTGTCATTATGGGGTATTGTGTGTAGATATTTTTTTTTTTTTATATATATAGATCATGTGAAGACACTAACCTGCCTGGTTGGTGGTGACGTTGAGAGAGACAAACGTTCGTCCGGGGTTGATGAGCTCAGACACTCCATTGATGGCCTCCACCTCGAAGGTGTAGTTAGTGTGAGCCAGAAGGTCTGCCACCATCACAGAGTTGTTGGTGAGACCGCTGCGTTGGGGCAGGAACCGCACCGTGCTGTCGCACTCCTCGTAGTGTCTGCTGTCAACGCTGATCTTACGGCACAGGATGTTATAGCTGACGTCCTTCCTGCCGCCAGTCTCCTCGGGAACCGCCCACTCCAGGAAGACCGACGTCTCGTTTACGTTGGAAATGGCGTTACGAGGAGCAGAGGGCGGTCCTGTAGAGACAATAACATACTGTGTTATTCCACTGACACTAGAAGAGAAGAGGTCATGTCATTCTTATTCCATAAAGGACTCCAGAGGTGTTGTTGGTAGTTCCACCAATCCGGTGCCTTTTTAAGAAGTGGAACTTGGAACTTAGAACTTCATAAACAACACTTTTTCAAATGTCATTGAGGTTAAATAAAAACTATATTTACCCAGCAAAGATTCCCATTAAGTTCTAGTTGGGGTTAGTTCTAGTTGGGGTTAGTTCTAGTTGGGGTTAGTTCTAGTTGGGGTTAGTTCTAGTTGGGGTTAGTTCTAGTTGGGGTTAGTTCTAGTTAGGGTTTTATCTAACATTATGATAAAAACATTTTTTCCCTTCAAATTTAAATATAATCCTTGGAATGTTTTCCTAAAATTCACTAAAATGCTGTGCACAACATCTGTAACAATCGCCACAGAACATTCCCAAAATGTTCTCATTAGGTTTCCAGGTAATGTAATAACACAATGCACCAGTAATGTTTTCCCAGCAAACCCAAATTGTTTATGTGAAAGTTCCCGAAACATTTGTTAGGCTGCATGAAGTGTTCTGATAACACAAAACCTGTCCGGTCGTGCTGATGATTATAGAACGTTTGTATAACACATTCGTCTGATGTTGCAAGAATATTAGAAAATCTCTAGTTTTTTGCAACGCCAGGGTTGTGGGTACGTTTCCCACGGGGGGCCAGTATGAAAATGTATGCACTCACTAACTGTAAGTTAGGATAAGAGCGTCTGCTAAATGACTAAAATGTAAAATGTAGAGAAGAACACTGAGGACATTACTACTGAACAGGCAGAGTTTGGTTTTGATGTTGTTATGCTTTTGTGTTTTTCTCCTTTAGAACTGTCTTACCAGCCTCCTGGAGTAGATGATTATCTCCGCTTCCGTTTGGAGGATGTTACATCTATTATTTAGGGAAATGTTGAACTGACGCCTGACCTCTGGGTGTTCTAACTTGGCAGAGTCAAACCGGTTGTTCTTTTTCTCACCCAGTTTCCTAATTTTCGGAGACAGCAGGCTTTGGTCACTGCCTACATCTCCTTTGGTCTCAGTTCCTCCCATCGGGTGATTTCCAGGTCACTTTCTGGTTTTATGTTGGAAGACCGTCCCACCTATGACCTTTTTTTTTTTTTTTTTTTCGCCGCAGAAGTCACACAATCTCTCTCCATTTTCAGACTTACACTACCAGTCAAAAGTTTAGACACACCTACTGATTTATTTTTACTATTTTTTACATTGTGGAATAATAGTGAAGACATCAAAACTAAGAAATAACACATATGGAATGATGTAGTAACCAAAAAACTGTTAAACAAATCAAAATATATGTTATATTTGAGATTCTTCAAATAGCCACACACTTGGCATTCTCTCAAACAGCTTCATGAGGTAGTCACCTGGAATGCATTTAACAGGTGTGCCTTCTTAAAACTTAATTTGTGGAATTTCTTTCCTTCTTAATGCGTTTGAGCCAATCAGCTGTGTTGTGACAAGGTAGGGGGGGTGGGGGGGGGGGGGGTATACAGAAGATAGCCCTATTTGGTAAAAGACCAAGTCCATATTATGGCAAGAACAGCTCAAATAGATTAACTGTTTAGTATTATCCCAGTTTACCTATTTGCTTATGGTCTTGCCTACACCTAGTGAACAGTTTTGTAAATTATATGAGAAATAAATATTCAATTTTATTTGGAACGGCAAACCAGACAAAATTAAACGGGCCTATTTATATAATGAATATGAATTCGGAGGACAGACATTTTTAAATATTAAAGTATTAGACCTATCACTAAAAGCTTCAGTCATACAAAAGTTATACTTAAATCCGAACTGGTTCTCTAGTAAATTAGTAAAATTGTCTCACCCAATGTTCAAGAAAGGCCTTTTTCCCTTTATTCAGATTACAACCTCTCACTTTCAGTTATTTGAAAAGGAAATAATCTCCCAAATATCACTATTTCTAAAACAAGCCATAGAAAGTTGGTTGCAATTTCAATTTAATCGACGACAGAACAAATAATGCAACAAATATTGTGGTTAAACTCAAATATACTAATTGATAAAAAATACATTATAAAAAAAAAAGAAGTAATCTTCGTAAATGATATCATCGGTACTGGTGGAATTATGTTGCATATGCAGCTACCAAATAATTGCAGCCTTACCGCAAAAATGGAAGAGGAAAGTGGAAGTGGGAGAAAGTAAGGAACTTGTCTGTCGGCCTTGCATTAAAGAACATAATTGGTTAAAGAAAATTGTGATAAATAAAAAAGTATACCAGTTTCATTTAAGGACCAAAGGATTGACAGCCGTCCCATATAGATTGCAAAATAGTTGGGAAGAGATTTTTGACGTACCGATCCCATGGCATAGTGTTTATGAACTGATACGCAAAACGACGCCGGATTCGAAACATAGAATTTTTACATTTAAATTATTATCTAAAATTCTTGCTACCAATATAATGTTATTTATATGGGGGATGCAATCTTCCCAGCTCTGCAGATTTTGCTGCGAAGAGACAGAATCATTAGATCGTTTGTTTTGGTACTGTCCATTTGTAGCTTGTTTTTGGACACAGGTCCAGGAATGGCTGAAGGATTGCAATATTTACCTGAAGCTAACCCTGCAGTTAGCACTACTGGGTGATCTGAAACGTCATAGTCAATCGATAAATAATATAATAATACTTTTATCAAAAATGTTTATTTTCAAACTACAATCTGTAGAAACAATGAGAATAGAAAGGTTCAGAACTTTTGCAAAACATCACAGTACAGTTGAAATATATATGGCAAATAGAAATCCAATATGGATGGTGTTAAGAGATAGATGGGAGGTGTTGAATGGAGTTGAAGGATGGGACTAATAACAACTAACAACAACTAATAACAACAAGATAACTAATGTAAAGCATACTGTGTCCATAATAAGTATATAGGTTATAGGTTGAGAGCTTTTGTGAAAGAGCACAGTTAGAAAGATATGGCGTATAGAAGCAAACCGAATTGGACATCATGAAAATGATCGGAAAGGTTGAGGGTAGAGGAAGTTCAGGAGTAAAAACAAACAAAATAGAATTATTGTCAAATGGAATGTTCGTGTTAAAAAACGTTCAATAACTCTGTTGGAAAAAACATAGTTTGCCATGTTAAACCACCCTAGCTCATAGTTGTTGTCAAAGCAACCATGAAACAAGCTAGCTGCCGGCTACGTTAGCTTACCTAGCTAGCCACCTACCACCAGACAAAGTTAACACACAAACGTTGTAAATGTAACTTAGTTGTAAAATACCATTTTAGGTTATAGAAGCTAGATAAACTTGCAACAACAGTGGGTTTTATACGGACACCTGGAGAGTAATTAGTATTATTTTTTTTTATTTTTTTTAAATTTCACCTTTATTTAACCAGTTAAGCCAGTTGAGAACAAGTTCTCATTTACAACTGCGACCTGGCCAGATAAAGCAAAGCAGTGCGATAAAAAAAAACAACACAGAGTTCATATGGGGTAAAGCAAAACAAAGTCAAAAATACAACAGAAAAAAAATAAATACAGTGGTGCAAATGTAGCAAGTTATGGAGGTTTAAAGGGAATAAATAGGCTATAGGCAAAATAATTACAATTAGTATTAACACTGGAATGATAAATGTGCAAGAGATGATGTGCAAATAGGATAACTGGGGTACAAATGAGCAAAATTAAAACAAAAATAGGGATAGTAGTTGGGCGGGCTAATTTCAGATGGGCTGTGTACAGGTGCAGTGATCGGTAAGGTTGCTCTGACAACTGATGTTAAAGTTGTTTGGGGAATAGGTTCTCCAGCTTCAGAGATTTTTGCAATTTTTCCATCATTGGCAGAAGAACTGGAAGGGAAAGGCGCCAAAGGAGGTTTGGCTTTGGGGATGACCAGGAGATTACCTGCTGGAGGCATACTCGGGTGGGTGTTGCTATGGGACCAATGAGCTAAGATAAGGCGGGGGGGGTTTGCTAGCGTGATTTATAGATGGCCTTGGAGCCGTGGTTTGGCGACGGATATTAGTGAGGACCAGCCAACAAGACCGGACAGATCACAGTGTAGGAAAGATAGGGGCTTTGTATCCGTGGCACTTTATGATACAATCCAATTCCCTTAGTAGATAGGGATGGAGGATACGTTGGCAGGGTGACTTCACCGAACAAGATCGGAATAGTCGTTTCACGGGCAAGTTTGGCAGCAGGGAGTGAAAAGGAAGGCTTGTTGCAATAGGAAACCGGATTGATTAGCCTTTGCATTGAGATTCTAATTGAAAACTTGGAGGAGTTTACAGTCTAACGTCCTGGTTTTGTAGTGACCCCAAAAACATCATGCTCTAGGGTCGACCTCGAGGAATGGATCTAAGTCGGCTGCGTGTGTGAAAGCGTTGGTTAGAAAGATTGCATTTAGTTCTTACAGTGTTTAAAAGATTGGAGCAGAAATTTTGTATGCCTTTACTTTTTCCCAATTTGCAAAAAAGTGTAAAATGACAATGTGATTTTCTGGATTTTTTTTCCTCATTTTGTCTGTCATAGTTGACGTGTACCTATGATGAAAATTACAGGCCTCTCTCATCTTTTTAAGTGGGAGAACTTGCACAATTGGTGGCTGACTAAATACTTTTTTTCCCCACTGTAGGTTATAGGTTGAGAGCTTTTGTGAAAGAGCACAGTTAGAAAGATATGGCGTATAGAAGCAAACCGAATTGGACATCATGAAAATGATCGGAAAGGTTGAGGGTAGAGGAAGTTCAGGAGTAAAAACAAACAAAATAGAATTATTGTCAAATGGAATGTTCGTGTTAAAAAAACGTTCAATAAACTCTGTTGGAAACAAACATAGTTTGCCATGTTGAACACACCTAGCTACATAGTTGTTGTCAAAGCAACATGAAACAAGCTAGCTGCCGGCTACGTTAGCTTACCTAGCTAGCCACCTACCACCAGACAAAGTTAACACACAAACGTTGTAAATGTAACTTAGTTGTAAAATACCATTTTAGGTTATAGAAGCTAGATAAACTTGCAACAAGCATGTACCTTTAAAGGGGAATGACGCGAGCATTTCATATCTTTGTTTTTTTTTTTATTTCAGACGTTTACCTAACGAGTTAACCAGGCTAAAGTTATAGTTGCGACATTCGGGGCAGTTTAGAAAGAAAGGGTCGATAGTCATACCCAAAAGTTTAGGGCGTTTAAACAAATTCAAAGAAACAGCGCGAAAAAATATAAACAGGTGGAAAGGAGGTATGGGGAAGTCAAAATAGGGCTAAGTGCAAAATATTACAATTAGTATTAAACCTGGAATGATAAATGTGCAAGAGATGATGTGCAAATAGAGATACTGGGGTACAAATGAGCAAAATAAATAAAAATATAGGGATGAGGTAGTTGGGCGGGTAATTTCAGTTTGGGCGGGTGTACAGGTGCAGTGATCGGTAAGCTGCTCTGACAACTGATGCTTAAAGTTAGTGAGGGAGATAAGTGTCCCCAGCTTCAGAGATTTTTGCAATTTGTTCCAGTCATGGCAGCAGAGAACTGGAAGGAATGGCGGCCAAAGGAGGTGTTGGCTTTGGGGATGACCAGTGAGATATACCTGCTGGAGCGCATACTACGGGTGGGTGTTGCTATGGTGACCAATGAGCTAAGATAAGGCGGGGATTTGCCTAGCAGTGATTTATAGATGGCCTGGAGCCAGTGGGTTTGGCGACGAATATGTAGTGAGGACCAGCCAACAAGAGCGTACAGGTCACAGTGGTGGGTAGTATATGGGGCTTTGGAGACAAAACGGATGGCACTGTGATAGACTACATCCAATTTGCTGAGTAGAGTGTTGGAGGCTATTTTGTAAATGACATCACCGAAGTCAAGGATCGGTAGGATAGTCAGTTTTACGAGGGCATGTTTGGCAGCATGAGTGAAGGAGGCTTTGTTGCGAAATAGGAAACCGATTCTAGATTTAACTTTGGATTTGAGATTCTTAATGTGAGTCTGGAAGGAGAGTTTACAGTCTAACCAGACACCTAGGTATTTGTAGTTGTCCACAT